CGGCAGCTGGGTAAATCACTGTGGGGTAAGAGGCAGGACTGGGGAAGACCTGGATGGGGTGGCTCCTACCCTGTACCGGGCTCAGCTGCTAGTCCCGGCTGGGATGGGACTTCCTCTTCCCCTGCACAGCAACCGGGGCCATGTCAGACCCACCCCCATATTTCTCCTCTGGCTGTAGGAAGCTCTGCAAACTCCCCCTCCTCCGTGCACTTCCTGCATCCGTCGTTCCTCAGCTGCAGGGGGAGGGGTCACTGTACAGGGAGCTGCTTCCCCATCTGCCCACCCCCCCCCATTCATCCAGACCCCCTCATGCCTAGAACCTCCCACTGAGCCTCACACCCCATGCACCCAGAACCCCCCCAATGAGCCCCATTCCCCCTCCACCTGGACCACCCCAACGAGCCATCCGCACCTGCTGGATCACCACCCTACTGAGCCCCAACCAGCTCCACCTGGATCCCCACCCCACTGAACCCCCCCCACTGAGCCCCACACACCCAGACCCGCCTGCTGAGTTCTGTCCCCCCCCATGCCCAGACCTCCCCCCGTTCTGAGCCCCAACCACCTTCACCTGGACCCCCCTGTAGAGTCCCATTACTGTTGCACCCAGAACCCTCCAAAAGGTCCCTGTGCATCCAGATCCCCCATGCACCCTTATCCCCCACTGAGCCACCCGCACCCAGATTGCCCCACACAAAACCCTCTCAACTCACACCTGGATCCCCTGACACTAAGCCCCTCCACACTTGGATCCTGCCTTACTGAGCATGTCTGCCCACACCTGGTGCACCTGGCATGGAGGGGCAGGGCCCTGGGGTGTTTTGGGGCAGAGCCCGGTCCTTGCGCTGTGTCGGGGTTGGGTGCAGCCTCACCGCTGAGTCTGTCCTGGGGTGGAGGTGGGGGGAGTTGCACAGTGATCTCCCCCCTCTGTGCAGCCAGTGGCCTATGCTCCCCAATGCCCTGCTGGAGCCTCCGTATTTATTTGACAAATAAAATTTGAAGAATTTTGCAGAATTTTAAAATATTATGCACAGAATTTATAATTTTTTGGCACAGGATGCCCTCAGGAGTCAAGGGAGGACTGACTGAGGCAAAGTCGGGTATGAAATCTCTGTGGTAGCCAGCAAAACCTAAAAGACATCTTACACTAGTAGGTAGAGGCAAATAAAATTAGGTCTGCCTTCGGTGCGATGGTGTCTGTCCTTCCTTAGACAGACTGATTCCTGAAAAGGAAACTGATTGAGTTGTCAGGTGAGCCTTGGCTGTGTTACACCTTAGACCCCCTATAAAATGCAAGAATAAAGCTCAACACACATTGTCTGAAAGCTGTCAATGGTCGGGCTCAAATTCAAATGTAGCTCAGGTTTGGCAAGGGCCCCAGCACGTCCCCTGGAGATAGCCAGCTAATGTGCGAGCTGATTCCAAGAAACCCTGTGCTGTTAACAGAGCCTTAGTCTTCCTGCACGTGTGCATTTCAGTCTCTTTGATTCATCGGTTTGGCTCCTGCTGATCTGAAGCTGCAATTGTTACAGTTCACTTTTTCAGTACTGCCTCCTGAGAGAGGCAGTGATGCCAGGTACTAGCCGACCTAAATACCAAGTGACTGAGATCCTTCGGGCACAATTAGACGCTCACGTTCATCCCTACACGGGTGCAAAATGTTGTGAGTGCGTGGGGATTTTGTAAAAAGATTCTTTTTTGGAGGGAGTCTGGGGGAGGGAATCTCAGGAACTCCTTGCTCAAATAATGCCAAATTTAACCGCACCCACGGAGAGTAGCAAATGCCAAGACAATCCAAGTACGGTTCTGCATTTCAGAGCTGTTAGAATAGTGAACTTTTCAACAGGAAGTAGGGCTCAACCATAGAATCATAGAAGATCAGGGTTGGAAGGGACCTCAGGAGGTCATCTAGTCCCACGCCCGCTCAAAGCAGGACCAATCCCCAATGAAATCATCCCAGCCAGGGCTTTGTCAAGCCTGACCTTAAAAACTTCTAGGGAAGGAGATTCCACCACCTCCCTAGGTAACCCATTCCAGTGTTTCACCACCCTCCTAGTGAAAAAGTTTTTCCTAATATCCAACCTAAACCTCCCCCACTGCAACTTGAGACCATTACTCCTTGTTCTGTCATCTGCTACCACTGAGATCAGTCTAGATCCATCCTCTCTGGAACCCCCTTTCAGGTAGTTGAAAGCAGCTATCAAATCCCCCCTCATTCTTCTCTTCCGTAGACTAAACAATCCCAGTTCCCTCAGCCTCTCCTCATAACTCATGTGTTCCAGTCCCCTCATCATTTTTGTTGCCCTCCGCTGGACTTTTTCCAATTTTTCCACATCCTTCTTGTAGTGTGGGGCCCAAAACTGGACACAGTACTCCAGATGAGGCCTCACCAGTGTCGAATAGAGGGGAACGATCACGTCCCTCGATCTGCTGGCAATGCCCCTACGTATACATCCCAAAATGCCATTGGCCTTCTTGGCAACAAGGGCACACTGTTGACTCATATCCAGCTTCTCGTCCACTGTCACCCCTAGGTCCTTTTCTGCAGAACTGCTGCCGAGCCATTCGGTCCCTAGTCTGTAGCGGTGCATTGGGATTCTTCCGTCCTAAGTGCAGGACTCTGCACTTGTCCTTATTGAACCTCATCAGATTTCTTTTGGCCCAATCCTCCAATTTGTCTAGGTCCCTCTGTATCCTATCCCTACCCTCCAGCGTATCTACCTCTCCTCCCAGTTTAGTGTCATCCGCAAACTTGCTGAGGGTGCAATCCACACCATCCTCCAGATCATTTATGAAGATATTGAAGAAAACGGGCCCCAGGACCGACCCTTGGGGCACTCCACTTGATACCGGCTGCCAACTAGACATGGAGCCATTGATCACTGTGACAGAGCTGGAGCTCTGCGATAATGAACGCAGAGCACTTGTTATTCCAGATCAGCTCCGACTCCACCACAGGGCGTTTGAGGAAACAGGACTAAGGGCTTGTCTGCTCCTCAAATGCTGCAGTAACACTTTGGTGTGGACATTAACTAGCGTCATGGGAGGGATTCTCCCATCACCGTAGTTAATCCACCTCCCCAAGAGGTGCTCGCTATGTTGATGGAAGAATTCTTCCATTGATCTAGAGGAGTCCACACTGGGTTTAAGTCAGCTTAATTATGTCACTCAGAGGTGTGGATTTTTCACCCCCCAGAGTGATGGGTCAATTTAAGATTTGAGAGTCCTAAGAGACACCTGGTAAGTGGGACGGGTGGGGTTAGTGGGGGGAAGAGGGGTGCTTTGGGGATCTAGACCTGCAGGGGATGGCAGCCTATTATGAAAAAATCCTTGGCCAGTCCCCGTTGCTGGTGAGCCTACACTCCATTCTAACCAGACTCCATTTTCACGTCATTTTATACATTTTAAAATATTATGATTCGCATTCTTCTCTCTCCACTGTGCACTACCTATCCCCACCACACGCACATCCCTATTCCCTACAAACTGTGACCCCAGCCACCGATCCTGATGCCGGACATTCCTCCCGGTCACAAGGTGACGTCTTCGCTTTTGGTGATGTCCTAAGTTGGTAATGAAACTTCTGGGGAATTGGAGGATCTCGTTCCCCCCTTCCTATCTGCAGCAGCCACAGTCTCTTCTCTGCAGGCTCCTTGGATCTTTGAGGCAGTCTCTCCTGATATCACACAGTCTTATTATTACTTCTCGTAGTCTCCTTTTCCAGAGGAATTAGTCTGTTGCTACTGAGTTAGAATATCTAATTGCCTAAGCTCGTCCTAGGTGCTTCAGGGACTAGATGAGGCAATCTCAGAAACATTAGCAATTATCTTTGAGAACTCATGTAGGACAGATGAAGTACACACGCAGTACCTATCCTTAAAAAGGAGAACAAAGAGGACCTGAGGAATTACAGATGAGTCAGACTAACTTTGAGAGTTGGAAAGATACTTGATCATATTAGAAAACAATCAGTTGGTCAGCATCTGGAGGATAAGAGCATTATGAGGAATAGTCAGCATGGATTTGTCAAGAACAAATCATACCAAACCAACCTAATTGCCTTCTTGACAAGGTTATTGGCTTAGGGTATTACAAGGAAGCAGCAGATTTGCTTAATTTTAGTACATCCTTTGACACAGACCCACATGCCATTCTCATAGGGAAACTAGGGACATGGGGTCTAGATGAAATTATTATAAAGTTGGGTACAAAACTGGTTGAAAGACCATATTCAATTTTAATCTGCAGCAAGCCAGAGTTAGGTTAGATATTAGGGGGAAAATTGTAACCACAGGGTAGTTAAGATCCGGAATAGGATTCCAAGGAAAGCAATGGAATCCCCGTCTCTGGAAGTATTTAAGAATAGCTAAGACAAATACTTCTCAGGGATGGTCTAGGTTCACTTGTTCCTGCCTCAGTGCACGGGCTGGATTAAATGACCTCTTGAAGTCCCTTCCAGCCCTACATTTCTGTGGTTCTGTCATTGTATAACATTGCCCATGCACTAGGGGATTTTCACGCTCCTTTCCATTACTCCTGACTCACTATATTCACTAATTTCTCAAAATGTGCTTCCCTAATCCCTAGCACCCGTTATGTGCTGCGTTCAGTGATCTCCCTACTCCTTCCCATTCCTTTCTGCGCTGAGCCCCCCAACCCCATGCTCACCAGTCCCAGTTCCCCTGTGACTGTCTCATTCCCTTGGAGGGTCTCTGTTGGTAAGAAGCAGTTCCAAGGTGACTTCCCCTGGGCTTTCTGTAATTCGGAGTTACTTCTCTGAGTTTGGGGAGCCCCTTTGATGAGGAGTGTCTGGCTTTGTGTGCACCAGCAGAGAATTAATCCCCTTATAACCGGAGTGTCTGGCACCTTTGAGCACCTGGAGAGCTAGCTCCAGAATTTCAGTGCTTTAAAATGAGCAGGGGTTTAAAAAAGGTCGTGTTCTTTGTGAGAAGTGTCCCGTGAATTCACCTGATCTCACTTGTTTTCTTTCATCTGAGCAGGGTTTCCAGTTTCCAAACCTGAGGTGATGTCCCAGCTGAAACAAGGGGAAGAGCTATGGATCTCAGATCTCCAGAGCTCTGAGGAAAGAGGGATCCTGAGAGGAACCTGCCCAGGTGAGGAATCACTGGACCAACTCAAATAGTGCCTTTGCCTGAGCTGGGATTCCCTACCAAGACCTTGAGAGCTCTTCGAGTTCAGGATTGTCCCCCAGCAGGTGTTGTATCCTCAGGGCCGATACCGCTCATGGCTTCCTACCCCTCCTGACCAACACGTGGCGGTACCTCAATTCCTAACCTCCCTTTATCCTGACCAGTGGGATGGGATGTGGAGTCAGAGTTGATTCCCTCCGTTCTACCCTCTGGGGAAGAATTTGGGGGATTCCTTTCCTGATCTTTCCCCCCATCTCTCCAGTGCTTCCTTTGGCTTCCTCTCCCCGTTTCTATCCCTGCCTCTGAGGTTTCTCTCTCTGTCTCAGGAGACGACGGGACGGTGCGTGAGAAGAAGGGGCAGAATCCAGAGCAGGAAGATGCTGAGCACGTGGAACTGCACGGGGGATTATCACAAAGAACTAACGGGAACGTGCCCGGGAGTCATGAGGGAAGGCAGCAGGGAAACCAGGCGGGGGGAAAAGTGGGTAAATCCATCGGTTGTGAGGAAAATCACAAGGACCTCAAGGAATGCAGTGCCCAGCAGAGAATCCTCATGGGAAAGAGAAAAAATATATGCACTGAGTGTGGGAAAACCTTCCCTGGGCTCTCACACCTTATTATGCACCAGAGAATCCACACGGGAGAAAGACCCTACGCATGCTGCGAGTGCGGGAAAACCTTCATTCGAAGCTCCCACCTTATCAGACATAAGAAAATCCACACCGGAGAGAGACCCTATGAATGCTGCGAGTGCGGGAAAACCTTCGCTGTGCGCTCACACCTTATTGTACACCAGCGAATCCACACCGGCGAGCGCCCCTACGCATGCCCTGAGTGCGGGAAAACCTTCACGCGAGGCTCACACCTGATCAGACACCAGAGAACCCACCGCGGTGCGAGGCCCTGTGAAATCTGTGAGTACGGAAAAAACTTTTCTGATAGAGAAGCCCTGATTAATCATTAGAGAATCCACCAAGGGTGGAGACCCTATGAATGAGAGTGCGGGAAAACAGTCATTTCCCGCTCAGACCTTAGGAGATATTAGAGACCCACACAGGATAGACAGGCTATAGATGATCGGAGTATGGGGGAAACGGCCATCAGAGCTCACTCCTTATTTTTGAACAGTGAAGACACAGACTTTAAACAGACATATAGACAACGACATTATTTCACCCAAGATTAATCTAAATGTTAATATTACCTTTTGATCGCTGAATCAATCGCTAGAGTAATAGACAGGAACTGTCTCTTGACACGGCTAACATCTAAGACAGTGGTCCCCAACGTGGTGCCCGCGGGTGCCGGGGCATTTTTGTGCACCCGCAGGACACCGCCAAGCTCAGCCGCCGGAGAACGGCCCACAAGTGTTGCCACTTCTCAGCGGCATTTCGGTGGCGGGGTGTCCGATGCCTGCCCCAGTCACCTGGGAATAGCAGTATGCACTGATCTAAGATACAAGTAAACTCATCAAATTAGTATCACCTCTCATTCTCTAACAATACAGGTGTGCATTTCAAAGTTCTAGCCTATCTAACATGGAATGGGCCTAATTACCATTTACTTACTTTTCTAACGTGTCTGTAAAGGTTGAATCTGGGTCAATGAGCCTGTGAGCTGCTTAACCCTTTCTGGCCCCGTGTCCCAGTGGTCTAGATTAAATTAATATAAAGTGGGTACAAAACTGATTGAAAGACCGGACTCAATCTTAAATATGGAGCAAGGGCAAGTTAGGTTGGATATTAAGAAAAAAATTGTGACTACCAGTGTAGTTAATCCCTGGAATAGGATTCCAAGGGAGGTTGTGGAACCCCCACCATTGGAAACTTTTAGGAACAGTTTAGACAAATACCTCTCAGGGATGGTCTAGGATTACTTGTTCCTGCCTCAGTGCATGGGCTTCAATAAATAGCCTCTTGAAGTCCCTTTCAGCCCTACGTTTCTGTATAATAGATTCTATCATTCTATAACCTTCACCATACACTGGGGGATTTTCACGCTCCTTTCCATTACACCTGACTCACTATATTCCTTAACTTCTCAAAATGTGGTTTCCTGATCCCTAACACTCCTGACATACTGCACTCAGTGATCTCCCCACTCCTTTCCATTCCTTACAATGCTAAGCCCCAAAACCCAATGCTCCCCTGTCCCAGTTCCCGTATGACAATCTCATTCCCTTTGCGGGTCTTTGTCAGTAAAAAGCAGTTCCAAGGTGACTTGCCCTTGGCTTTTTGTGATATGGAGTTACTTTCTCTAGGTTTTAGGAGCCCTGTCGATGAGGAGTATCTGGCTGTGTGTCCACCAGCAGAGCGGTGGAGAATTAATCCCCTTATAAGCAGAGTGTCTGGTACCTTTGAACACCTGGAGAGCTAGCTCCAGAATTTCTGTGCTTTAAAATGAGCAGGGGTTAAAAAAAAAAAGCAAAAAGCCATGTTCTTTATGACAAATATCCCATGAATTCACCTGATTTTACTTGTTTTCTGTCATCTGAGCAGGGTTTCCACTTTCCAAACCTGAGGTGATGGCCGAGCTGGAACCAGGGGAAGAGCTGTGGGTCTCAGATTTCCAGGGCTCGGAGGAAAGAGAGATCCTGAGAGAAAGCTGCACAGGTGAGGAATCATTAGACCAACTCAAATACAGTCTGTGCCTGAAGGACACAGCTGGGATTCCCTACCAAGACCTTGAGAGCTCTTGAAGTTCAGGATTGTCCCCCAGCAGGTGTCGTATCCTCAGAGAAGATTCCGCTCATTGCTTCCTACCCATCCTGATCAACATTTTGCAATAGCTCGCTTCCTAATCTCCCTTTATGCTGAGCATCGGGATGGGATAGAAATCATAGAATATCAGGGTTGGAAGGGACCTCAGGAGATCATCTAGTCCAACCCCCCTGCTCAAAGCAGGACCAATCCCCAATTTTTGCCCCAGATCCCTAAATGGCCCCCTCAAGGATTGAACTCACAACCCTGGGTTTAGCAGGCCAATGCTCAAACCACTGAGCTATCCCTCCCCCCCTTGTGTGGAGATAGAGTTGATCCCCTCCTCTCTCCCGTATGGGAAAGAGTTTGGGGGAATTCATTCATTTCCTGATATTTTCCCCCATCTCTCTAGCATTCCCTTTGGTTTCCTCTCCCCTTTTCCATCCCTGCTTCTGAAGTTTCTCTCTGTCTCAGGAGACGATGGGATGGTGAGTGAGAAGACGGAGCAGAATCCAGATCAGAAAGATGCTGAGCATGTGGAAATGAATGGGGCATTATCACAAAGCACTGAAGGGTACGTGTCCAGGAGTCATGAAGACAGGCAGCAGGGAAACCAGCCAGGGGAGAAAGTAGGTAAATCCAACAGCTGTGAGGAAAACCACAAGGACCTGAAGGAAACCACTGCCCAGAAGAGAATCCTCATGGGAGAGAGAGAAAACATGTGCCCTGAGTGTGGAAAAACCTTCCTTTGGCGCTCCCACATCATTGAACATCAGAGGATCCACACAGGAGAGAGACCTTATGCATGCTGCGAGTGCGGGAAAACCTTCATTCGACACTCACATCTTCTTAGACATCGGAGAATCCACACCGGAGAGAGACCCTATGGATGCTGTGAGTGCGGGAAAACCTTCACTCGGCGCTCACATCTTATTACACACCAGATAACCCATGGAGGCTCAAGTCCCTATGGATGCTGTGAGTGTGGGAAAACCTTCACTCGGCACTCCTACCTTATTAGACATCAAAGAACCCATGCTTGCCAGGAGCCCTAGGAATGCTGGGATGATAGAATAAACTTCTTTCTGTTTGATCAGCCCTTATTGATCGTCAGAGAATCCAGAAAGGAGAGAGAAGACCCTATGAATGTTGTGAGTGCGGGAAAGCTTTCATTTACCACTCAGACCTTAGGAGATAAAAGATGGTCCATGTAGGATAGAGGCTCTGAGTGCCGGAAAAGCTTCCATCAGAGGTCACACCTTATTTATCATGAAAGAAGCCACAAGGGAGTAAACATCATAAGTACTTTGTCGAGGGCTAACTACAAATGTTGTGGTCTCTCAGCTCCCCCAGGTGAGTGGTCCAATTTTGCTTTTTGCAGCTTGCCCTTCTTTGGAGTAAATCTCCAAAGACCCTTTCTATCAACTTCTTTGTTCTGTGAGTCAGAGGCATATGAGTCCCTCTTACTAGGGTGCTGAACACAACGCCATCCACAGCCTCAGGAACAACTCTGACATCATAATCAAAGAGGCTGACAAAGGAGGTGCTCTCGTCATCATGAATAAGTTGGAATATGAACAAGAGGCTGCTCGGCAGTTCTCCAACACCACTTTCTACAGGCCATTGCCCTCTGATCCCACTGAGGGTGACCAAAAGAAATGACACCATCTGCTCAAGAAACTCCCTGAAAAAGCACAGGAACAGATCTGTGCAGATACATGCCTAGAACCCCGACCTGGGGTCTTCTATCTGCTACCCAAGATCCATAAACCTGGAAATCCTGGGCACCCCATCATCTCAGGCATTGGCACCCTGACAGCAGGATTGTCTGGCTATGTAGACTCCCTCCTCAGGCCCTACGCTACCAGCACTCCCAGCTACCTTCGAGACACCACTGACTTCCTGAGGAAACTACAATCCATCGGTGATCTTCCTGATAACACCATCCTGGCCGCTATGGATGTAGAAGCCCTCTACACCAACATCCCACACAAAGATGGATTACAAGCCGTCAGGAACACTATCCCCGATAATGTCACGGCTAACCTGGTGGCTGAACTTTGTGACTTTGTCCTTACCCATAACTATTTCACATTTGGGGACAATGTATACCTTCAAATCAGCAACACTGCTGTGGGTACCCGCATGGCCCCACAGTATGCCAACATTTTTATGGCTGATTTAGAACAACGCTTCCTCAGCTCTCGTCCCCGAAAGCCCCTACTCTACTTGCGCTATATTGATGACATCTTCATCATCTGGACCCATGGAAAAGAAGCCCTTGAGGAATTCCACCATGATTTCAACAATTTCTATCCCACCATCAGCCTCAGCCTGGACCAGTCCACACAAGAGATCCACTTCCTGGACACTACAGTGCTCATAAACAATGGTCACATAAACACCACCCTATACCGGAAACCTACTGACCGCTATTCCTACCTACATGCCTCCAGCTTTCACCCTGACCACACCACACGATCCATCGTCTACAGCCAAGCTCTGCGATACAACCGCATTTGTTCCAACCCCTCAGACACAGACAAACACCTACAAGATCTCTATCAAGCATTCTTACAACTACAATACCCACCTGCTGAAGTGAAGAAACAGATGGACAGAGGGCAGAAGAGTACCCAGAAGTCACCTACTACAGGACAGGCCCAACAAAGAAAATAACAGAACGCCACTAGCCATCACCTTCAGCCCCCGACTAAAACCCTCTCCAGCTCATCATCAAGGATCTACAACCTATCCTGAAGGACAACCCATCGCTCTCACAGATCTTTGGAGACAGACCAGTCCTCACTTACAGAGAGCCCCCCAACCTGAAGCAAATACTCTCCAGCAACCACACACCACACAACAAAATGGCTAATTCAGGAACCTATCATTGAAACAAAGCCCGATGCCAACTCTGTCCACATATTTATTCAAGTGACACCATCACAGGACCTAATCAGATTAGCCACGCCATCAGGGGCTCGTTCACCTGCACATCCACCAATGTGATATGTGCCAGCAATGCCCCTCCACCATGTGCATTGGCCAAACCAGACAGTCTCTTTGCAAAAGAATAAATGGACACAAATCTGACATCAGGAATCATAACTTCAAAAACCAGTAGGAGAACACTTCAGCCTCTCCAGCCACTCAGTAACAGATTTAAAGGTGGCAATTTTGCAACAGAAAAG